CGTGCTTTAGTAGAGCGTCTGTTATTTAGCGAGCTTGTCGCGGCCGTTGGGAGGCAGGAGAAAAGGGAAGCAGCTGCTGTCGTCTAGCCGGAAAGGGAACACTGAACAACTGCTAGGTAAAACATTGGGGGGGCGAAAGGCCAGAGATTGGTCGAGATTAAAATGATTCTACTAGGCGTCTCAGCGGCGGCAAGTTATTGGTGCAACCAAAATCACAAAATCTGAAGTTTCTTATTCCAATTTTATTTGAGAGAGCCAGATGCAATCACCAAAAGAGCCACACCTGGCTCGCGAGCCATGGGTTGCCGACCCCGGTATTAGGCAGTAAAGTAGATATATTAAAAAAGAAACATTTCGTGAAATTCGGGTTTAAAGCACAGGCCAGTGTAAAGAAATCGTCGAGGTGCAGGGCACAGTCCCGTTTCTTCACATATTTCTTCTTATCACAACAGGTGCGTTCTGAGAGGTACTGAAGCCGTACTTGATGAGTCCGCTTAAGATCAAGCACGAACGACAATCCGGATGGAAATTAAAGGCGGATGCGTCCAGATTTTAAGAAAACAATGTGTCACCGAAAAACATCGACTTTCGAAATCGTTGGTGCGATTCTACCCCCAGATTGTAAGGTTGTGCAAAACAAATTGAGTAAGGTCTCAATCAGAAATTTCAAACCTATCCAGTGGATAAAAAGGAAGGTCTACGCGCAATCTCACTGGTAATCGTCGTTTGTTCGCATAATTTGTGCTACATTATGCGGTAAATACGTGTTCAACATCGCATAGTTAGCATTCAAAAGCACGTGATTTCGACTACATGAAGTCTTGGTGTGACAGGGAAAGCTGGAAACATCTCCTTTTAGTGATCCGGAAGGATAAACTGATTACCTCCACGGCGCTCAAGTTTTTTTTCTGTAAGGAAAAACTGGGCCAGAAATCTCAAAACGCCAGTGAGTTGTGAAAGACAATGAAATAACCCCACGAGTTTTTCTATCAGTTAATAACGATAAAATGTACAGGCCTGAAGGAATTTATCGAATGCAAATGCATGCTAGCAATGTATGTTTGTATGCATATGTAATGTATGTTCTTTCGAATAAAAGAATAAATCAGATAATGGGAACTACAAAGACCGCGGACAATATATAACTTAACTCTCCGAACGGCCACAAGCAAATCGCTTTAACACTCAAGTCTGAATTGTAACTCAATGGAGTGAAAGATTGACCAACCTTCACAATTTCATCATCGCCGCCAGTGACGAAGACATTGCCATCACTGGTGATGTCCATGCCATTGATGGAGCCAGAACGTGAAGCGTCCAGTTCTCTGATGAGGGAGCCATCATAGAGCTCACAATATCCAATCTTCCGATCAGTGCCTGCGGTGAGAACTTGAACTTCGCTTGGATGGAAACAGATGACGCGGAATAGTGTGTTGGCGAAAATTATTTGAAGTCGCTTGTACTCTCTGTAAAAGAAGAAAATGTTAGGTGGCGAGGCTGTGGCATACGGATCTGCACCATTAGTGAGTTAATGTTGAATGCCTATATAACTGGTTTCGCATTTGTTTCCTTTGCAAAGACCACTTAGATAAATTCAATAATTGTAAAGGTTCTACTTAATAAACTAAAGTAGATGGTATTTAATCACATTTAGTGGCGTTAAGCCATGGTCAACAGTGTACGCTGAAGGACATGTACTTTCAGCTAAATGCAAAGCTATTGGAGGTGAATTTTGTCTTACATCAGGTCCCAAATAATGCAGGTTCCATCAGCGGAGGAAGAGGCACATTTGGTGTCGTCCTTGTTTATTTGAACGCAGGAGACAGCATTGGCGTGCTCCTTCATGTTAGCCTCCAGGGTAGTGGTGATCACAGAGTTGGGTTCATAGGCCACCTCTCGACGATTTCTTGAATAAGGATTTTTGAGACTCTTGGCAAACTGGGGGTTGATGCTTTCTTTGAGGCGCCATACGCGAA